GGGTGGGTAACATCAAGGCAATAGAGCCAGTGTGAAGAACAATGTATATGGACTTCGTAAGTAAACCAGTATAAAACAAAAATTTTATTTTAAATTTTTTTTAAAGTGAGGTTTGAGTTATGATGTAGGGAGCAGCCTCTGGTAAGAAGGTTACTGAACTTAACCTGCTAATTCTCAAAAAGGCATTGGACACTGTAAGAACCTGCAGACTAGATTGACTGTGTGTTGTGTGCATGTGTGTGTGTGAAAAGAGTGACCTGGAATCCTCAATAATTGCTTTCTCTGCACTTTGTATAGCAGTTGAATCAGAAGAAGAAGACGTGTAAGAAGAAGACGTGTAAGAAGAAGAAAAAGAAACTACTCCAGACTAGGAAACAGCGAAATGAGCAGTATCAGAAAAATAATTTGATGCGAGAATTAAAGTTCACCAAAGATGGCCTTGTAAGAAAGTCTGCCACCTACTCCTGTCTGGTCACAGGTTATTCCATCAAGGGAGCTGGAAAAAGAGCTAAGGCTTTCTCTAAAGTGAAAAAGAGATGGGGGCTGCGAAGAGCAGCTTTCTATTTTATGTTCTATGGCTTTTCCAGAAGAGAGGTGGTGCTGGAAAGGTGGAAGTCCACAGTGGTTGGATGACTGAGGCATCAGGCATCCTCCAGGATCAGGACATCTAGATGGCTCTTTCCCAGTGTTTCTCCTCCTTTCCAGCACCACCCACCCCCTTGCTAAACATGAAAACGCTTTCAGAGGCGAGAGTTTGGCTTTTAGGTGGTTATTGTTGTTAGGTGCCATCAAGTTGACTACAGCTGAGAGACCCTGCCCTGCTCCGTGCTCATGGTCACCACCGTGCTCAAACCCATCGCGGTAGTCACTATGTCAACACTATGTTAGTCTATCTTCTTGCAATTCTTCCTCTTGTCTGGGACCTTCCATTCTCCCCACCACAATGTCTTTTTCCAAGGAGTAGCCCCTCTTGACCACTTGCCCAAAGTACTGTGCTTTTCACCCTCCTCACCTCTAAGGAGCACCCAGTTGGACTTCCTCCAAGTCACACTTGTTTGTTCTTCTGGTATTCTGTGGGACATTTAATACTTTCTCCTAACACCATAATTCAGAGGCAGTCATTATGCTAAGGTCTTCCTTATTCATTGTCCAACTTTCAAATGCATAAGAAGCAACTGAAGATACCATGGCTTGGATCAGGCGCACCTTAGTCTTTAACATCCTTCTTTTTTTAGCACTTTAAAGATGTCCATTACAACCGGTTTTCACAGTGTAATATGTCTTTTGATTTCTGGACTGCTGCTACCATGGATTTTGACCGTGGAAATGGGACCAGTTGTGAATGGATCCATTTTAAAAGTCTCTTTGTGCTCAATCCTTATAGGGAAGGGCAGGATTTGCTTCTCCTCTGCAAAAGCAGCATACTTTTTTTAATAATTCAGAGACTCCTGGTTCTTCAACAATGAAACATGACAAACCAAGATTAAATGAGGTAGAATTTTTGCTTTACTCTATTACACTAATTGATTTCTCTAGTTAGCAACAAACAAGGTGAAGAATTCATAGCCATTGGTGTCATCCTTACCTGTCAGGGCCACTGGGAGTTAAGAGGACGTTGAGTTTGGGATTATATACCACTGAAGGCTAACAGCAAATATTACTAATTTGTGATTTAATACAACAAACAAAAGCACAGGCTGGTCTGCATCATTTTTTCACCCACCCATGCAACCATCCATCTAGTCTACAGTTTTTATTGCTCACCTACTAAGTGCTAAGCCCTTCACTGAAGTACAACATTGGACACAACACTATCAAAGTAGTTATGATCAAAGTAGTTGTAGAAACACAAATGATAGGCACTGCACCAGCTGTTAGGGTGTTCTCACCATGAAGTCCTTGTGACTTACAAAATTATTAATTTTTTATGTATGAACTATGTTTTGCTATAATGCTGGCTGTTTCTTAGTGGATAGAGTGCAAGATGGGTCCTGTAGTGCTGAGTGCTACTCCCTGGTTAATGTTACAGTGTGGTCTCCATGCATTACACTGAGGAACCCCTCAGCACAACACAGCTGTCCTCCTCTCGAGAGCCAGTCTTACTGTTAATATTCTGTGAGTTACTAAAGCCCCAAGGAACTTTCTGCCTCTGAAAAAAAATGTTGGTATTAGTTGCCATCAAGTCAGCTCTGATTCTTGGCAACCTTACGTTTAAGAGAACAAGACATTGACCTCCTTCAGCTGACAAGCGTGGTTGAGTCGGTTGTCATGGCCGTTGTCTCAGTTTAGCTGACCAAGGGCTTCATTAGCCTTTGCATCCCCTTTGCTTACCAAGCAAACTGTCCATTTCCAGTGATTAGTCCCTCCTCATGGCAATCTATGGTGAATGAGGCAGTCTCAGACAACAGTCTGTGGTCCATATGGCTTTTACTGGCTAATCTGTGGAAAAATAGGAGCAATAATATTTCATTCATGGAGTAGAGTGCCCGGCATATGATGAGCCAGTTGGCATCATGTCCATTCCAATTCATGGTAAACCCTTGTGTGTCAGGGTAGAACTGAGGAGCTTCATGAGGTTTTTCAATGGCTGATTTGTTTTGAAAGTAGTTCAGACTGTAGACCTTTCTTCCAGGGCATTTCTGAATGGACTCAACCCACCAGCCCTTTAGTTGACAGCCAAGTATATTTACATTGGCTAGGGGCACCACGGCATGTAGTAGGCACTCAATAAATGTTAGTGCTCATTCTTTTCATTGAATTGTTCATTTTCATCCTCTCTTTTCATATCCAAGTATCATAATGCATCAACATGCATTGATAAAAATTACACAAATAATGTATGTTCAGTATAATTGCTTATTCAACTCACTTGTTTAAGTGATATGTTTAGTGAGAATGTGCTTATTTAATTTTAGACATGGTTAAGTGGAAGAGACAAAGACATCTCCCTGGATCCATCAAAAATCACCACCTTAATTCTGGCTCAGACTAACAAGACAATACAGGTACTTCACTTAACAACATGTACATATATGTCATTGGTTTGTGTTTGTTTGTTCACTTTTCCATTGCATTCTGTGGTTTGACAAGCTGGTGATACACATAGTATGCCTTCTCAGATTTGTTCTGCTCAGGTTAATGGTGATGGTTTGTATTTCAGGTCACAAATAATCGAACCACCGTAGGACCCGGCCCACCAGGGCCAGAGAAAGCCTACTTAGAATTTTTCACTGACGATTTAGTTTTCACAAACATTTGTTAGGCAGTCATTCTTCTGTACCTCCACAGCAACGTTTTGGGTATACTGGTGATTAATGCCACAGTTCTCAGCCATGGGGAGACGATGTTAACCATGCCACTAGTAATCATTCAGTACAAAGCAGCTTTGTGAATTATTTGCTTTGACAAAGGAATAAATGAGAACGATTTTATATATGGCCCCCATCTATGTCTACTAACATCTTTCTCATTCATTTGCACTTATATAAATGGAAGGAAAAAGGGGTGGCAATTCGGCTAGAAAGAGAGCAGCTGTGGGTGCCTTCATGGAGGGTGCTGCTCACCTGTGTCTGCGTGAAAGAGGTTGAGAATCATGGCGATGGCTTGGCGCTGGTGTGCTGGGAAGAAGTGGGCCGTTCTCCCGAAGTGGAGCCCCTGCTGTCTTCCCCAGCTCCTTGCTTTGGGTGCTCAGAGTGATTTCTCATGTTGCCATTGGTGACATTAGCACAGGACCAGGCCTAGTTTCGTTCTGATACACATGGGTTACCATACAGTGGAGCTGACTTCATGGCACCTGACAACAGCATCATCTCACGGAGAACCTGTGTGTGGGGCCTGCCACAGAGGCAGAGATTCTCAGGCAGGGTCGAGATCAAGCATAGCATAACTGCAACTGAAGAGGAGTGTTAACAGTCAATTCAAAGTGGGTTTCTGTCCTGACAGACTCAAGCATGACTAGCGTGCTCTCTCCACTCAGCCTCCTTTGCACAAAGTCATAAAGAGAGGCTGATAGGTGGCTAATACCACACCCTGTAAACTGAAACATGCTAGTTAAACAGTAACAAATACCCATGAATTCAGTTAAATATGACAGAGTAGAAGAATATTTTAATAGTCATTTCAAGTTTCTAATATGCTGTTTCTCTAACAAAGACGTGGGCATTAAACTTCCACTCTAACATGTCTAGCTAAAGCAGACATGAAAAAATGGGTCCTTTCCCCTTTGATCCACTTCATCAATCCAGTTCTCTTCCTTCCTGTAATGTTTCTAGACAGTTTCAAAAATGCAGTCCCACAACTGCCCAAGAACACAGGAAAATTATGTGCCTCTTTCAGATCAACATCGCCCCACTTCAGCAGGAAGTAGCTAGACATCACTTCAGCCCGTCTCCATTATATTCCTTTAGGGTCTGGAATGGAGGAAAAATTTAGCAGTTGTTCCATGAGAAACCTGTAACATCTAAAGCCGCCTGGACCCTGATAAGGATCTGTCCTCCCTGTTGTTGTTGATTGTCTTCCCTGTGAACAAAAGCTCTGAAGCCTTTCTATAACTATTATTAACATTTATCAAAGTTCATAGAGGTTCTGGAGGCATGTTGTTTAGGAAGTGGATGCCACTCCTGCTGTCCTCCTTAGCCCTCCCTAAAACCCCTATATAAAGAAACTGCCCTAGACCGATGTGCGCCAAATGCAGTCAAATAAAATTACCCTACTGCTGATTTAAAAATAAAAATGCAGGCCCGCGGCTTTTCAAGGCAATTAAAATTTTGAATAATTGCAAAACCAACCCCAACTCTAACTTATTATAAATCATATTATAAAGTGATTGCAACTTCCATATCTTGTTTGCACAGAGCAAAACGTTGGACACTGCAGTATCATGCTCTCCAAAGAGAAGAGCACACACCAGCCAAGAGCCAACTCCAGGCATAAAGACAAACTGGTCCAGGAGCAGATACCATGTTGTGAAGAGAGACCATGCCACCATGCCAGTATACCCGTCCTTGCACGTATACACCTACCCATAGACGAGCCTGGGCTACGGTGCACACAGGCACACAGAGTTAGACACCCTGTGACAGGAGCTGTAGGATGCTGTGGGATGCATTCATCTGGTGTATACTGCATCGTACATTCATTCTCCATTCACATATTGAGCTTATGCTGTGCTCATGCTCTCAAGATGCATACCTCATGAATGCAGTTACTTTTTCATAGAATTAAACTTTACTATAACATTTAGAAAAGCCTTATCAGAAACTCGTGTATGCTCCTGGAAGTACAGCACAAATATACCTCATTTAACCAATAGATATTCTCCCTAAAATTGTGCACAAATGAATTTCATAAGATCAAAGTATTTTCAACACATTCTGGGAGTGTGCTATAGAAAAGTGCTTTGTAAAAAATAAAAGTAAAAAAAAAATTTTTAAAGTGCTTTGTGTCAGCGTTTTCTAGTGGTTATAGTCATGCTGTCATACATAAGGTTCATGCTGACATGCATAAGGTCCGCGCTAAGTGAGGTATTCCCACATAGAAAAAAAAGTTCTGTGCTTCCCAGAATTTAGTGGTGCATGTATTTTGTTCAGCTTGGTTATGTTTTATTTTTAACCCATGTATTAAAATATTTTCTGTCTAACTAGTTGTTTCCTTTAATTGACTTATACACTGCTGTTGTAGATTGCTATTGAGTTGAGCACAACTCATAGGGACCCTATGAACAAAAGGCCTGAAGCCCCTCTATAACTATAGTCATTCATCAAAGTTCATAGTTTCTAGAGGCATGTTGTTTAGGAAGTGGATGCCACTCCTGCTTCCAAGATTTAAACACAGTGTTAAGGAAATTGATCCTTCATATCAGTCTTTTCATTCACCTTTCACAAGCACTAGCGTGTTCTACGGGCTGCACATGTCACAGCAGCACACTGGCCTTGTATATTAAGTAAAGGTCACCTTAGATTATGCCAGATCTCTGTTTTGACTTGACCTTTTTCTTACCATGTTGGATTAGAAGTTTATCAGCCTTTTTTCTTATCACTTTTAAATTATTTTAGCCACCACCACTACCTAGATGACCAGTGTTAGAACCATCTGGTGACTCACATTTTATTACAGTATCAGTATGTGAGTCTTTATAATGAATACATTTTCTTTTTCCTTTTAAAGATAATTTTGAGTGGTTCTTACAGAGATTGTTGCAAATGGCTAAAGAAACTGCATTCACATGATGGAGTATTATGCATCACTTAAAGAACAATTCCTGAAATACTGCACAGCATGGATGAAACTAGAGGAAATAGCTCTCAGTAACAAAATTCAGTCACAAAAGGGCAAGCTCTAGGGCGCTCTGGTGGCCTAGTGGCGAAAAGCTGAACTGCAATCCCGAAGGTGCACGGTTCGAATCCATTAGATGCTTTGCTGGAGAAGGAGGGGCAATCTCCTGTGCCAGTCGGATCTGATTTGATGGTACACAACGGGGGGGGTGCAATTAAGGCGAGCACTGGAGCAGACCACTGTTATGATAAAACTAAGAAAAGGTTCACACAGAGAATGATTCTTGGAGGATTACCAAGAATGAGAGGGATGGAAAGGGAGTGAAAAATGTGTAAAGAGAAAGCTGTGTACATTAAGGGACTGATCAGACTTTGTAATTAACTAATTAGATTAATCAGCTGTAATGAATGCTATAGCACAAAATGTATGAATGGCTGAATGAAAAACCAGTATGATTTGTAAACTGTCACTCAAAAAAATTCATTAAAATAAATACACATTTTTTAGTAAAATAAATAGTTCTTACCACTAACACCACTTCCCTCAAAAACAAACAAAAAACCTGTGCTAGTGAACTGATCTCTAAAGTCCCTTCCTTCCTATGACACCACCCTCACCTGGACGTGACCTTCTCAGCTTTCTATCTACATTGCTGTAGTGTGCCTTGAACAGCTTTTCCACTGGGCCAGATCGGCCTTCTCTCACTGCATCCTAGTCCTTGCGGAGAGAAGATCTCTTTGCAGCAGTTCTTCCCATACTTTTCTCAAGCAGGTTTGGTATATACATACACCAGTTCTCTTCACAGCCCCTTTACTGGCTAATTCTAGATCCTTGGGTTCAGTGACCAGAATCAATCAATCAGCAGTGATTGTGAGGATGGGACAGGACCGGGCAGTGTTTGATTCTGCTGTGCATGAGGACGCACTGAGTTAGAACTGACTCCAGGCATCTGGTAACAGTACTTGTCAGCACTGGTCAACCTCCTCTGCACTCCTACCTCATTCAATCCACACGCCAGGATCCATGACATCAGCTGCTCTCCTGCCAGCACCCTAGGTCCTCCCCCTCTGCCCTCTGCCACTTCCACCTGCTAGTTCCTTAACTTGGGATCAGCCCAGCCACCCCAACCATCTGTGCCTGTACTCCCACACCTAGGCTGCCAGGACGGCTACAGGATATCATGCTGTTGGGTGGCTGGGGGGCCCTGCACACTTCTCTCCCTAAGGCCTAGGAATGCTTTTCTGATGCAGAAACTCACTCCTGTTTTCCAAAGCCTCCTTTTCACCTCTTCCTGTAATCCTCTGCTTTCTCCCACCTTCTACCTTCCTGCCAGCAAGTAACCTTGCTGGGGAGTTGATGGTTTAGAATCTGGACTCTGGTGGAAGAGGAGGAGAAGCAAAGAATTCTGAATTCTTCAGTATAATTGCTTCCACAGGGGTACTGACAAATCTATTTAGAAACTATGTTAGGTACATTGTAAGGCTGAATAAATGTGTTAATATAGTTGGAAACCACTGATAGAAGATATTTAGTGTTTACCGTCAAATCAGATCTGATTGGTACAGGAGATTTTCCCTCCTTCTCCAGCAGAGCACCTGGTGGATTTGAACCGAGTTTCTCTGGGATTGCAGTGCAGTTTCTTGCCTGTAGGCCACCAAAGCTGGCCTGATTGGAGGTATCGTTACTGAACACAAGGGGTTCTTTCTGTAGTCAGTCGCCAATAAGAAAAACAGATTGCAATATCCATATTGCAATATTCATGCACTTTTATTACACAGATTTGGGAGACAGAGAGTGACCTCTAAGACTGCCTCCCCATCTGGGAGTAGCCATGGCCTTATATACTAGGATGAAACTCCAGCTCATTTAACAATGTACTTTTGTTAGTAAAAAAGGGTAATTTCTACATCTGAAAATGACAGTTCCCATCTATGTATCAGTAATTCAGGAAGGTGCAGTTCTCTTCCTGGTCAACAGGCAGATTAAGATACAGTTTACAGGGGAGCTCTGGTGGCCTAGTGGCAAGAAGCTGCACTGCAATCCCAGAGGAACACAGTTCGAATCCACCAGATGCTCTGCCGGAGAAGGAGGCGCAATATCCTCCTGTACCAGTCAGATCTGATTTGACGGTACACGCACACAAAATAGTAAAAAATTAAAAAAAAAAGATATAGTTTACATATGACTAGAGAACCAGCTTCACCAGCATCTAGGTTCTGGTAAATAGACAGATCAAACTACTCTACAGACTAAAGACAGGAAACAGAGAATCCTGAGGCTAAGCAACTAGTTTTGCAGGATAAAGAAAAAGAACTATAGTTTTATAACTGATACCTATGTAGAGAATTCTAAACGTATTAATACCACCCTATAATTGATACCTATATAGAAAATTCTGAACTTATTAATACCACCATATCAGTATCAGTGTGAACTCATTATATATAGATATATATATATATAGAGAGAGAGGTATAGATATATAGAATAGATACACACACACACACACACACACACACACACACATATATATATATATATATAGTGGCAGGAAGTTACACTGCAATCCCGAAGGCACATGGGTTAAGGCCACCAGCTGCTCTGTGGGAGAAGGATGGGCAATCTCCTCCCATGCTATTAAGTACCTCTGAAAACCTTCCAGAGGGTCAGCTATGGATTGGTTCCAACTGTACTGTACACAACAACAACTATATATAAAGATACATACACACATTTCATTGGAGCGCCTAGTGTGTGACTATGGTGCTGAGCAGCTTTCAACAGAACTTCTAGATGAGGGAGAAAGGTACCCTGCCATGTGGTTCTGAAAAGCAGTCGGTGAAGGTACATGGACCACAAGTGGTCTGATCCATCACCAGCCACGAGGGTGGTGAGGACCAGGCTGCATTTCCTGTTTCCTTGAACATGGGTTTATCTTGAATCTAGGGCTGACTTGACGACAACTGGCAACGACATTCACATCTCAAAGGCAGCATGTCCAAAGTTAATTCATTGCTTCTCTTTGCCCTAGAGAGAGACTTCTCCTCTGTCCTTTATCTCAGGGAGCAGTGTTACCATCTTCATTGTCATTGTTATGCTTGTAACTGGAATCTCCACGGTCTCCCTGCCCTGCAACCCCACATTCACCACATCGTATTAACACTGCCTTCTCCATCAATCCACACACTTCGCTCCATCATTCAAGTTGTCATCATTTTTCTCCTATTAAATCTGCTCTTTCACCATCCAGTCCTGTTGAGCTTGACCATCCATAATGAAGTCAGGCCTGATGAGTCTATTGTAAGCCAAGTCTATCATATGACCCAGAAATTCACTCCTAGACATGTATCTAAAAGAAGTGAAAGGAAGGATACCAATGTATACTTGTACACCGATGTTCACTGCAGCACTATTCACAGCAGCCAAGAGGTAATGTTATTGAATGCAAAGGGGCTCTTTCTGTAGTCAATTGCCAATAAGACAAACAGATTGCAATATCCATAAAAGCACTTTATTACAGATCTGTGGAGGACAGTGGATCTTGGCCTCAAAGACTGCTTCCCCGTCTGGGAGTGGTCATTGTGTTTGATACTAAGGTGAAACACTAGCTCATTTAACAATGCACTTTTGTTAGTAAAAAAGTAATTTCTACAGTAATTCAGGAAGGACACAGTTCTCTTCCTGGTAAACCGACAGGTTAAGACACAATTTACATATGACTGGAGAACCAGCTTCACCTTCACCAGGATCTAGG